AGGACCTCACGCTTTCCAGGCAGGCGCTGTTCCACTGAGCTAAATCTCCAGCCCCTATTATCCTTTTTTTTTTTTAAAATTTATAAATTACTGGATTGGATTTGCTGATGTTTGTTAAGGATTATTATGTCTGTATTTATGAAGAGTGTTAGTCTGTAAATTTCTTGTTTTCTGTTGTCTTTTTTTAAGGTTTTGGTTTTTAGAGACAGGGTCTCACTGTATAGTTCAGGCTGGCCTTGATTAATAAGCTCAGTAGTCTCCTTCTACTTGTCAGCTTTCTTGGACGCCATACATTAGGGAGACTGTATGATATCTGTCTGAGTCGGGCTCATCTTGCTCAACACGATGCTCTCTAGATGCATGCATTTTCTTGCAAGTGACAGAATTTTCGTTCCTTCTTATGGCTGAATAATACTGCATTGTGTATGTGTACCACATTTTCTTTATCCATTCATCTGCTGATGGGCACCTAGGCTGGCTCTGTACTATGGCAATGGTTTATTGTCCTACACTAAACATGGGTATGCAGGTCCCTACAGTATGCTGACTTTGTTTTGGGTATATATCAAGGAGTGGTATAGCTGGATCAAATGGTAGCTCTACTTCTAGTTTTTGGGGAACCTCCTAACTGATTTCCATAGGTTGTGCTGACTTATACAATCCCATAAACTGTGTAGAAGCCTGTGTCGTCGTCGTGCCCCTCCCCTTGCCATTCCTCACCGGCATTTATTGTTTTTTGTGTCTTTGTCGCTAGCCATTCTGATGGGTGGCAGGATGGAGTCTCAGTGTAATTTTGATTTGCATTTCCCTAATTGTTGAGTATGTTTAACATGTTTTTGTACACTTACTGGACATTTGTACTTCAGTTCACTTGGCCATTTATTGATTGGGCTCTTGATTTTTTGATGTTAAGGTTTTTGAGTTCTTTATATATTGTAGATATTAATCCTCTGTCAGAAAAATAGGTGCCAAGGAGTTCCTCCCATCCTGTAGGTTGTCTCTTCACTTGGTTGGTTGTTTCTCTGATGTGCTAATTGTCTTTTCAAAAGGCTTTATTAGTATAGCCTTTGACCCACGTCTTTGTCCTGTATGGTGGTCTTTGTTCCTTTGTGCAGAGCCACACTTTCACCTGGTGGTGGTTTCTGTCTGACTCAGCTGTCTTAACATTGCAGTGCATGGGAGCATCTTTGTCTGCACACTGTGTTGTTGCCTTCATTTTAGAAAGAGTTTCTTTCTGAGATTCCAGCTTGTTGGCCATGTCCCTCCTTCTTGATTGGAAACATGCTTCCACCCTTACTTTTGCTCCTGTGGTGAAGATGTCTCTTCCCCTGCTTCTGAGATTGTGCTTTATCACTGGCTTCCAGCAGCTGACTGTGTGCCATGCTGTGGTGTGGTTTTCATTCACTGTGCTTGAGATTCATTGGAGTTATTGGATGTGTAAATTTAGTATCATCAAATTTGTAGAAATTTCATTTCTTTATTTAGCCCCCTCTTTTAGTTCTGGGAGTCCATAACCTATACGGCATATATCTTGATTTTTGTGTCACAAGCTTTGTTCACTTTTTAATTTCTCTCTGTGCTTCATTTTGAATTATTTTTATTTTTATTTTCTGTCTTCAGGCTTATCAATACTTTGCTCTCATCTGCTTTTTTTTTTTTTTTTTTTTTTTAAGACGGTCTCACTGTGCAGCTCACGGTGGCCTTGAACTCACTGTGTAGCCCAGGCTGGCTTTGAACTCATGGTAATCCTCTTGTCTCAGCCTCCCAAGTGCTGGGATTACAGGTGTGCGCCACCACGCCTGGCTTGCCCTTTATTTATTTATTTTTAAAAAATAATACATTGTTTTCCATTTCCATTTTCTTCTTTTTCACATCTCATTTCTTTCCTTGTCATGCTTACTTTTTAAAAATATTTTCTTGAACATATGGAGTGTATTTTTAATTGCCAGGTTTTAGATGCTTGACTGCTGATTGTGTCTTCTCTGTACTTTGGGTTCTGCTTCTGTTGATTGACTTTTCTCCCATGTTTCAGGTCATAATTTATATTTTGGGTTTTGTTATTAGATGCTGGACATTGTGAATTTTATGGTGAATGCTAGATCTGTATTTTAAATTTTGTCTGACTTGGACAAAGGATGTGTGCAATATGATTTGTATAAGATGAGTGCTGTCAAGTGCCACTGTTATCCTGTGCCTAATTCTAAGACTTGCCTCCATCTCTTGTCACTGGGAAACGTCACTTTCGCAGTTCTTGGCTGCTCTTCGGAGTGCCGTGTGTGTGAGCCGTCATTGTAGGTACTGGTGTACGTGGTGAGCAGAGGAAGAATTTCCTGCCTGCATGGGACTTGTGTTGCAGTGTTGAAGACAGATTTAAAAGCCGGAAAGCAAGAAGAAGCAGGATTTCAGATAGCATTTTGTGCTAGAAGAGCTTAAGGTGGTTGGTTGCTTTGTCAAGCAGAGTTTGGCCAGCAGATAGGTGCATCACACCTGCAATTAAACTGGGACTTTTTTTTTTTTTTTTTTTTTTGAGGTCCTGGGGCTCAAACCCAGGGCCTCACACTCACACATTCTAGGCAAGCACTCTACTACTGAGCTACATCTCCAACCCTTTTATTTTTATTTATTTATTTTATTTTGGTACCGGGAATCAAACTCAGGACCTTGCGCTTGCCAGGCAGGCACTTTTGCCGCTGAGCTAAATCCCCGGCCCTCCAGCCCTTTTATAAAAATTCAGTTTTATTTATCTCACTAAACTGCCCAGGCTGCCCTCTCACTTGGGATACTCCTATCTTGGCCTCTCCAGGAGCTGGAATTACACTTGTGTGCCACCGTGTCCCAGTCTGGCTCATCTTAACCTAATGAAACTGTAACTTGTGACAGGGCTCAGCCCCCCAGATCTGTGAAGGGAATGCTAAAGAACACAGTCCCTTTGGCGTGGCTGCAAGCTATGCAGAGGGTGTGATCAGGACCCCAGGGCCCCTGGATTGCTGCAGGCCAGGTTAGGTGCTGGCTGCTCGATGGCGAGTCCATGCTGCCCAGTCCCTACTGGGAGGACAGAGGCCCTCAGTGGCTGGAGCTGGGCAGACCCAATTCCTCAGTGTCCTTCTAGTGCTCTCTGCCTCCCGCCAGCAGAGGAGAAACATGTCCCTTCATCATAGAGTATGGTCGTCATGGGTGTGGGGTCAAGAGGAAAAGAAAATCGGTAACTGACTCCACCATCCTCCCTGAGTGGGGGCTGTTTCTGCTCAGGCATCACTGCTGGAGCTCTCCTTCTTCCCGTGTGTCAGAAACTGTCCAGAGATGAGTGGATGAGTGCTCTGGGCAAGGGGAGCAAATGGCAGGGATATAAACACAACGCTGTGCTCCAGTCAGCCTTGGAGACTCGATGGGAAGCGCAGGGTTTAGTTAGAAATTGTGTGAGGAGGGCAGATTTCATGCACAGGAGCCTGATGAGCTCACTCTGACTGCTTGGGAGTGGGTCGCAAGTGGGTGGCGTGGGAATAGGGCTCCACAAGAGGCCGAGTGTTTGCCAGAAGAGAGGTGCTGGGCTAGAAGGGGACATTGGGAGGGCTGGAGGAGCTGACCCCACAGCCTTTCAGTCACTTGGTGTTGGAATTGTCTCATTTTCAGGTGTTCAAGTCCAGTCCGCATAAAAACTTGACTGTCACAGCTATTCGAACACCTTCTTGAGGTGTAGGAAGTAATGTCTCAAATTGCCAGGATGCAGGGTGCTCTGGGGTGTGGAGAAGGGCTCTGGAAAGGAGGAGTTGCTGCCCTGTCTGTGGTTCTGTTGGGCTGACTGGGGCCTATGGTGGTCGCACATTGTTGACCTTACCTGCAAAGGCTGTGTCTGGGCTGCTGTGACAGAGTCCCAAAGCCGAGCAGGTTATAGCAGCAAGTGGAGGCCACTGTGGTCCTGGTGTGTAGCTGGCCCCTCCTGGCCCATTCCGGGTGGGCTGTTCCACCGCAGCACAGCTCCTGGCCTCCCATGTGCTGTCTGCTGGGTAGCTTTCAGCCCTACTGCCCCAGAGGCCTCAAGTGTCAAGTCAGTGTGCATGCCAGTCGGCTGTGAGAGGTCCTGGGCTGGGTTTCCGCAGTAGACGGGGTGGTGCTGCAGGTAACGTGTGCACAGCCCAGGCGGGAAGCGGGGGAGATCATGCAGTCCTGTGGACACAAGTGAGGTCCCTTTGGAAGCTTGTCCCATGGCTGCACTTCTCATGCTGTCAGCTGTCAGGGGTGGGGTCAGAGCTGGCTGCCCCCGGGAGGGGTATATTCCCCAGCACCCAGCTCTACGTAACTCGTCGTTCTCAGGCCCCGTCACTTGGGGACCAGGGCCGGGCTCTCTGCGTGACTGGGAGGAGGCAGGTGGGTGGCCTGGGTTGTGTCTGTTCTCTGCAGCAGTGCTTGCACACCCTTTCTGTCCTGGGGTGTGGGCAGCATCACTGGCTGACTCTGCTGCTTCCATGCATCCTTGTCCAAGGAGTTTTTCCCACATGGCTTTCTCCAGTCACAGTGAGGAGCGTGGATTGTTGGGCCCCCAGAACAAAGAGGTGTTACCCTCAGCTGCTGGAACCTGGGCTCAGAGTGGCTGCAGGCTTTCACTCTGCCACCTGCAGATATGTGTGCTTCACCTTCCAGAGGTGGCTACTGGAATGGTTGTCACATGTGCCGATTAAAGAACAAAAGAAATACATTGAACGTCATCCTGTGATTATGTTGTAAACCATGGGAAGGTTTAAAAAACGCACTGGTTCTAAATAAATGTTTTTATTTTAAAGAGAAAAAAAACCAAAATTTCAAAACAGTAGGAGGATAACAATGCTTAATACATTGCATATTGTTATCTTTAAATTAGTTACTCAGAGTATGGTGCCAATTATTTTATTTTCAGTGTCTTAAGTTTTAATTTTTTTCTAAAAAGCATTTTCTGAACAGTTAATACAAAATTGATGCGATGAACATTTGGGTTTAACTGGTCTGTTACATTCTGTTTTTAAAAGCAGGGCCAAGATTTCCTTCTTCACTCGCCACTTGGGGGCACCCAGCCTGATACCAGCAGCACTGGGAGGTTGCCTCTGGGTGCACAGACGCTGCCCTCCACAGGGCTGAGCCCCGCACCCTCGGATGCCCCCTGCTCATGTGAGGCCTGCAGTGAGCGCAGGTATGTGCCATATGGACCGTGCCAAGCAAGCTGGGCCATGGGGATGTCCCAGAACATGTTGGGCTGGAATAGGAAACTGGGCTCTTTTTAAACAACAACAAACTTTTGAGCCACTCCTGAGAGGGAGACAGTGGCCTGGCCATTACCAGGAAGACCACATAAGTAGAGTAACACTAGGACTTCTGTCCTTCAGGGACTAACACTAGGATGGTCAGCATAGTGATGAGACTCTGAGAGGAGCATCAGTGACAGAGAGAGGGTGGTGAGGCAGGCAACGAGCTCCACCCTGCCAGGGGACACCAGAAAGGGCAAAGAAAGGCACAGGCCCTGCGGGGGGCGGAGGTCAGCTGGCCGGCCAAGCGTAACTCGCCTTTGCTGTGTCGCAGAGAAGTTTCAGCGGAGACAGACCGGGAACCTCAGCAGCTGCAGAACTACTGGTCTGAAGTACGCTACATGGTCCGCTGCATATACCGCCAGGCGGGAACCCCACTGGCAGATGACCAAGACCAGTCCTTGGTGCCCGACAAGGAGGGCGTGAAGGAGCTCGTGGATAGGTACACACTCCCCTCTGTGGCCTGGCTCTGTCTGAATCCTGCCCTTTCCTACTACTCCTGGAACCTCTGCTTGTGGGTGGGCTTTGGCTGCAGCCCTGAGTGGCGCTTGGCTGGGCAGACTCAGCTCTGGGTGGGTCAGAGCTTAGCAAACAGTTGCCCAGAGGGAGCCTTCTGGTTAGAGCTGCAGTCTTCCAGTTCTAATGACATGAGATGACTATCATGTCTTCGTGCTAAGACTGATGGTAATACCTACCTGCTTGCCCGAGTCCTAGCTATGCCAAAGGCAGTGCTAAGTACCTTCATAGGCACCCTTGGGTTTTTCAGCTCTGGGAGGAAGGCTGAGTACTGCCCTTTCCTGAGTGCTGTGAGGCTGGTACCTGGTCAGGGGCCCACAACATATGGGTGCAGGGCAGCTGAAGCCTGTGGGGCTGCCTCTCACACAGGAGTGGCTCTCAACCCCCATCTGTTCTTCAGCAGGTACCTTGTGTCCAGGAACTTACAGAAGGTGAGGTGGGCACCACCTCTGTTCTTCCTTAGTGTTTGAGTGTACCGTTGTTTTCTGATTTTCAGTGTTCCAAATAAAAGTAACAAATTTGACCTGGATGAGCATTTCATGGGTCCATTCTCATTTTGATTTCTTTCTGTCTCATGTTTTGAATGCACACTTTGCAGGCTTTTGAACTTAAATTTGCTATCACAGTGGTTTTTGTTCTGGAAGCAGCAAGGTGATAGGTAGTGGGTTATGTTACCTTGAAATCAGTGTGTCACCATGAGCCACTGGTATTGTGTGAGACAGTTCTGGGTGGTATGTGCCTTTTCTGGAAGGTAGATTTTGTAGTGAATGCTAGGAAAAACTATGTAACCCTCACATCAAACCCATGACTTAGCAGAATATTAATGCCACATGTTGGGTCTGTTGGAGTAGCATCCTGTACATGGTTAGTGCCAGTGTTTGCTGTGTGTTCGCTGAACAAGCAAGTGAACGAATTGCTGCGGCATGTTTAGCATTTTCATTCCCCTTATGTAGGTTCTAAGAAAGTGTTTACCCAAGTACCACGTGGTTATTTTCTTAAATTTGTAAAATACTGAAATGGACAAAGAAATAAAATGCATGTAATCTTAGCCTTGCTAAGAGATCTAAGGAGATGTCCAGTCTACTTGTGAGTTGATTATTCCTAGGTTGTTTGAGTCCTCTATGTCTTTCCTTTAAAACAGATGAAACACATTCTGTTTCAGGGATGCTTTCTTATATTAGTAACTTTAAAAAATGATGGTCATGCTACAGCAATTAAGATATCTATTTGAACTATAGCAGCCATAGGTCCTTCTGGCTCAGTCTCCTAAAGAGTAGCTGGGATTACTGGCATGTGCCACCATGCCTGCCAACTATTTTCCTAACCACATTTTATATAAGACTTCCCATATTCCATTGCACGATTTTACTTGACTCTTGTTTTTTGACTACCTAGTAGCATGCTAATTTTAAAGTGGAATGGGTGACCCTGCAAGTTCTTTTGGTAGAATGTACTATAGAAGATGCTAAGAGGCAGAGTTCACTGGTTCCTGGTAGTGCGTAACTGTAGACACCTGGCTGTTGCATCCATGGTCCAGGGCTTCCATCTAGAGGCATTTTGGAGGTGCACAGTGAAAAGAAGTGGTAGCATCCATGCACAGTAATAGCTGAAGGGTGCAGGACGTGGTTTTGTTTTGTTTTGTTTTATTTTATTTTGTGAAAGGGTCTCACTATGTAGGGCAGGCTGGCCTTGAACTCAAGGCGATTCTCTTGCCTCAGCTTCCCGGGTGCTAGGATTACAGGGTGTGCCACTGCCACCCAACAGGACTAGTCTTAAAAAGTGGATCCCCTCCACATGTGGAAAGAAGTTCATGGCAGTGTTCATTGCCATTGTGGTTAGTGGTGGGCATTTGTATTTTTCCCTTCAACTAATTGTATTTTATACATTTTTATTATTCTTTAGTTGGGATAATTTAAAAATAGGGGAAGTTGTGTCTGACATGTCCTCTAATCATAAAAATAGCACAAGCCCATTTGTATCCTATACCGAATTGCTAGAAAAGACTGTACCTATTAAATGTGTAACGACCTTTCAGAAAGGATTGGCCTCTCTGGGCGTGGTGGTCTGTAATCCCAGCACTTTGGGAGGCTACAGCAAGCGGGCTGCAAGTTAAGAGTCCCTGTGGCACACGCAGCTGGGGCCCACTTGGAGGTGTACTGGGACAGTCCGCTGCCTGCTGATTGTGTGAGCTCAGAGCCCTCCCCAGCCTGGGTGGGTTTGGGTGTCTGTGTTTGGGCAGTGGCAGGAAGCCAAGTCTCCATGTGGGCTGGCTGAGTGAATACACACGTGTAAATGGACTGTCCATTTTGACTGTGCTGTCCGTGCCTGGCTTCGTCATCTGCCAAGGGAGTGAGTGACCTGGTGCCTCTGCCAGGTCAGCGCGAAGAAGATAACTGCTGTGGTTGCCAAGTGGATGTCTGCGGAAAGACTTCAGAAGAGATGATCACTGATGTCAGAGTTGTCCGGCCGTAGGCCCTAGGTGAACAGTCTATAGCTGAGTGGTGACTGTCTCTCTGCAGGCTCTGTGAGAGAGACCCCTACCAGCTGTACCAGCGGTTGGAGCAGCAGGCCCGGGAGTATGTGCTAGAGATGAAGGTCCGCTTGCTCCGACAGCTGTCGTCAGCAGCAAAGGCCAAGGCCCCGTCTGGCTTGCAGGGTCCGCCACAGGCTCACCACTTCATCTCCCTCCTGCTCGAGGAGTATGGGGCCCTCTGCCAGGCAGCGCGCTCCATCAGCACGTTCCTCGGCACTCTGGTAAGAGACAGCCACCTCTTTCCTGCCTGGTGTGGGGAAGGCAAACTAGCGAGCAGCAGTGTGTGGCCGGAGGGAGTGTCATGCCCGCTGTGCACTGGTACAGGCCCTCTGCAGGGTCAACTAAGGGTAATTCTCAGGACTTTGCCACCAGAAAGCAACTTACCTGGAGTGTGGTGTTTCCACCATGACTTTGATTTGATAAGTGGTACTTCAGTGGACTCTAGTTTTAAATGCTTTGTAGTCATCAGACTATTATTTTTAGTTCTAGGGATTAAATTCATGCTAGGCTATTGCTGTATACCACTGAGCTATATCCCTAGCCCAAGTTCTTCCTTTGAGACAGAGTTTCACTGTATTTCCCAGGCTGAGCTTGAACTTGTGATCCTCTTGCCTCAGCATCCCAGGAGGCTGAGATTACAGGTGTGTGCTACCACTCCCAGCTCCAGCCCTTTACAGTTTAGAGATAATCTCACAGAGTTGCCCAGACTGGCCACAAACTTGTGATCCTTCTGCCTCTGCCTCCCATGTACAACTGGGCTTAGAGGTGTGTGCCACTACGCCTGCTTTAAACTAACATTGTGAAACAGATAGAGTAACCATTGGTTCCCAAGATTTTAAGTATAATGATCTTCATGTGATTCTAAAGTTGATGGGCTTCTCCAGAAAAATTGCCTTACTTGCCACTTGGCAGTCACTACAGGGGTCCTAGAAAAAATTAGCCAGGTATGCTGATATGCACCTATATTCCTAGTTATCCAGGAGGCTGAGGCAGAAAGATTCCCAAGTTCCGACCCTGTCTCAAATTAAGAAACTGGCTATGGATGTTCCTCAGTTAAAAGTTCTGAGTTTAGTCTCTGACCACCACACCCCCGCCACAAAAACCTAGAAATAAAAATGTGTAACTTGTTTAAAAAAATTCTAGCAGGTTAATGGAGTAGGAAGCTGAGAAGAGAATTGGTGGAGCTCTGTAGGATGTAGCCCCAGTAAGAAGGGGCCATCTTAAGAGAAACATGGAGAATACTGAGGAGTCTCGTGCCCACTAGGGAGAGCGCAGGAGGAAAATGAAACTCAGGCCAGGGGTGGTGGCTGCAAGTCCTGCTAGGAATCCACTGCAGAGGCATCTGGAGTGCTGGTGCTTCCAAAGCCTGCCCCAGGTCATCAGATGGTGCCCATGACTTTGTGTGCATTTGTTAGGGAAATGAACGTTCCCTTGCCAGAGTCACACTAGTGGAGAAACTGTTTGCATCTATCAGATGGAAGACTGCTCAAGACAGATGAGAACAGTACTGTCTCTTGCTAGCAGAAGATTTGTATGCATCAAAGTTGTTTGAAATGTAGGATTTTCATTACATCTTGAAAGCTTAGTTGTAAGAAATCACAGTCAAATATATTATTTCTTTCTGTTCCTTCACCTGTGTGCACCTGCTTTCCTCGTTTGTGTGGGTTTATGTAAGTGGCAGATGAGGTGGAGACCCAGGCTACTCCATGTCAGAGTTCAGATTCAGTGAGTGCCTTGGGACCTCTCAAAACAGAATGTTCTAGGCCTGTGTAGAGGGCTGCAGCGAGTGGAGGGAATCCTCCTGGGAAATGTTCTGTCACCATCAATTCACTACATTTTGTTTATTTTTTTTTAAACTAGGAAAATGAGCACTTGAAAAAGTTCCAGGTGACATGGGAACTGCATAATAAGCACCTGTTTGAAAATCTGGTCTTTTCGGAGCCCCTTCTCCAGAGCAACTTGCCAGCACTGGTGTCACAGATCAGGTATTTGGTCTCAGCCCATGTGCGTTCTGCATCATGACAACCCATCTTTGTGGGCCAGGGTGTGTGCAGCTGAAGACCACTGAGTGTGACAGTTCTTGCAGGAAAAACACCAGGGCCTAGGGGAAAAGATAGTGGGGAGAAAACTCAACGTCTGAAGAATCACATAATAAAAACTTAGAAATACTAAAATAGTATAAATGTTGCTAAGACTGGATAGTGCACATTCCTCATAAAAAGGAAAGCCGTGGTAAATGGAGCACTGCAACTCTACAGGACTTGTGCTTGGCCAGGTAGGCAGGGAGAATAGGGGAGATGGGCACAGATCGGGGGTGCCAGGGATGCTGAAACCTGCTTTAGTTTCTTTTAAATATTGCCTGCACACCCCAGTTCTCCGTTAAACCTCATTTGTCTTCCCCTGTGGCGTGTCCTCATGGTGGGAGGCTGGATTCTGTCCTTTCACCAAGGCAGGTGTGCACGTGCAGAGCTCACTCGTGGGCATTTGCTGGGGGTGGCCTGGGGTAGACCTGTGCTGGGGCAGGCTGCCCTCCTTCCTCTGATTTCACTCAGTAGAGTGAGACCCCACTAAGCTCACAGATGTGTCCATTTCCTTATAGACAGACATAGCTTGACAGCGGTCTCCATTTAGCCATACTGAAACAGAGTGGCAAGTAAGTAATACATTATCATTATCTAGTGGTGATTATTAATCTCTTTGACTTACCACTAGTTGTGTTTTTTTCCCTTCTGAAATCCATGTATTGACCCAGTTGTTGTTTTATAGAGTCACGAATCTATTGGAGGGGATCCTCATCGTGCCCCCTTTACACTCTCATCTCTAGAGGAGTAGCTTCAGAGCAGGCTGGTGAGAGGGGTTGGCAGCGAAGAGGTTAGGTGAGGGCTTGGGCAAGAGCGACACAGGGCAGCTTTGCACCTTCCCCTTCTGGTGCTTCTCGGTGCCCTTTCCCTTTCGTGCCGTGTCCACTGTGTGAGAGCATGCAGTTCTCATGCAGGTCCATGCAGCATGAGTGACTCTGGCCAAGGCCGAGGGCTCACAAGAGGGTTGGAAGTCATGGATTGAAATGAAGAGCTGACTTTCCTCCTAGCTGGGGTTCGTGTCACCCCTGCAGGGGTCTGGTTTGGCTGTCATCCACTTTGGGAGGCTGGCAGAAACATGAAGGCAGGGCAGAGTTCTGTGTTTTTGCACATTCGACTGTTTCTCAGTGTCAGTAATGGTTAGACTTCACAGAGCAGTGTCTTTGGGTCTTGACTGTTCTTCTGGGGTTCACGCTGCAGCATTGCTTTCCAGCCCAGGGTCGGATGAGGAACAGGGACAGATGTTCCTGCTTCAGCTTCCCAAGTACCCAGATTTGCAATAGTGTGCTGCTGTACTCAGCTTAAATTTTACAAATTATGTTGAAATACATGTAACATAAAATTTGCCATTTTCGTCATATTAAGTATATAATCTAGTAGCATTACATACAGTCATCTCTACAATTTCTGTAGGCATCTAACAGTAGTAACTCCTGTCTGCTCCTCCTTTTCCTCTGTCTTTTGAGAGGCTTTCATCTGCAGTACCTCTACCACACACCCATGCTCAGCCACCACCACCCCTTTTGATAATATGGTTAGGAGCCTGGGCTGCTTGTCCTGCAGAGGTGCAGCAGCCTGGCTCCTCCCTGAGTGTGCACATGCAGGAGGCACAGTGCGCCACCAGGAATCTCCAGGCCCCTGTCTGCTCTGTCCTCTGTGGCTTGATGTGATCCATGTTCTGTAAGTCAGAGGAATGGTGCACTGGATTTTGATGGGGTGACTTGTGGGGAGCGGCCTGGCTTGGATTACGCAGAAGTGGCATTTAAAGGAGGAGTGGGAATCAGTTATGGGAAGAGCAAGTCAGTGGCAGCAGGAGTCAGGAGAAAGCCCGATGTCATGGCTGCAGCAAGGCAAGACACGCACTGTGCTCGCAAGCTTGGGTGCAGAGGCAGACATGAGGTGTCACTGGAGCCATGCCCTGAAGTTTCGTTAACTGAGAGGCAGAAAGCATGTAGAAGATGTGGTAGTTTCCTATCGTTGTGACAGAACACAGAAAATCCACTTACAAAGAGGGGAGATTTATTCTGGCTCATGGTTTCAGAGGTTTCATCGATGGCTTTTGGCCTGGGGCCTGGGATGGCGCCATCCAGCTTGGTTGGGTGCATGGCAAAGTAAAGCCACTCACCTCATGGTGCTGGGAAGCTAATTGGGGAAGGGGCCGGGCTGAGGCCTGTCCTTTGAAGACAAGCCCCAGTGACCTGTTTCCTCCCCATGGGCCCCACCTCCTAGCACTCTCCTCATCTCCAGTGCCCCATTAAGTCATGACCCCATGGTGGCTAATCCATTGATGTGGCCCAATCCCACGGGATCCAGTCATTCCCCACAGCCCCAACAGTGCACCTTTAGGGACACTGCATATCCAAACCAGAACAGGAGGGCAGCCTGGGTGTTGGGAGTGGCCCTGGGCACTGTGCATGTTAGTTTTGTCCTGTCCATTTTATTTCAAATAAAACATCAAAAATCAGAGAGAAAGAGGTACTAAAAGTGCTTCATACACATTTTTCCCATATGTCCACACACAGTTTTAAGCAGGGCAGAGTTGTATGTTACGTAACATGGGCAAGTTTCCATTTCAGAACTACACATGTGAATGTGTGTATGTGTTGTGTGTGTATATGGGAAGGAGTAGGTACAGTGTAACATTTGTAGGGAGTACCTCGTTACCTTGTGTCCCTTCATCTAAATGTCCCATGATGTTTTTATTGCTCTGCTGTGGGTTTTTAATGTAAACAGTCCTAATTTCTAACCTGCATGTAATCTTAATATGTGTCTTTGATTCTGAGTAAGTCAAGATGTCTTCATTTTGTTTTTTTTTTGTTTTTCTCCGGTACCGGGAACCGAACTCACGACCTTGCGCTTGCCAGGCAGGCGCTTTTGCCGCTGAGCTAAATCCCCAGCCCCTTCATTTTGTTTTGTTTTGTTTTGTTTTTGTCTTTCTTTTTTTTTTTTAAATTTTTTAAAATTTTTTTGTTTTTTTTTTCTGGTACCAGGGATCAAACTCACGACCTTGTGCTTGCGGGGCAGCACCTGTGCTGCTGAGCTAAATCCCCAGCCCTGCTTTTTGTCTTTTTGAGACAGGGTCTCACTATGCAGTTCAGGCTTGCCTTGAGCTCACTTTGTAACCCAGGCTGGCGTCAAACTCACAAAGATTCTCTTGCCTCAGCCTCCCGAGTGCTGGGATTACAGGTGTGCACCACCATGCCCGGCGAGATGTCTTCATTTTGCTTGACATATTGATGTATATAGATATTGAGGAAATGAAATTTTTTTTTGGTCTTTTGGAGACAGGGTTTCACTGTGTAAATCAGGCTGGCCTTGGACTCACTGTGTAGCTCAGACGGGCCTTGAACTCATGGTAATCTTCCTGCTTCAGCCTCCTGAGTGCTGGGATTACAGCACTCAGCACCACCATTCCTGGCGAGCAAATACATTTTTTAATGTAATCTGTGACCCCTCACACCTCTTGCGCTCCCACATTCCCTCGTCACCCTGGTCCCACCTTCTCCTCTCTTCCAAGCTGCCCCTTGTTCTGTTTTTTTCTCTTTTAGAAACCTGCATTTTTTTCTCATGTCCACCTGTGTGTGTCTTCGGTTTCCTATTTGTTTTCTCATTTCCCATTTTACTATCTTAATACAGTATAACTGTATCTCTGCAGTTGAGTCAGCATTTTCTGTTTTATTTTATTTGAAAACCATGTCCCAACTTTTTGTTTCTCATTACATGTCTTCTCTGGGTCATTGTGTTTTTATTAGGAAAGGATAGCATACACCCTGCGTGTAGTAACCTGTATCACAAGGCCTTAAACAACAGTGTTGTTCCCTGCTGATTGGTTTTCCTGGGCATCATGTTTCGGGCATCACCTTTCTTTTATGTGAGGTTTTCTGGGGAGTGCTTGCACACATAGCTTCAGTCCCTTGCAGCAGCCCTGCTATGGTACAGAGCAGCATCCTGTAGGTCATGGAACAGGTGCACTGACACAGCTAGACAGTAGCCACAGGAAGAAACCACTCCCATCTGGCTGGGAGCATATGGCTCAGGGCCTTCCTCCTCCTAGGCTGGGAACCACTACGCACGACACCTGCAATGAGGACACGTACAGCACCTTGCTGCAGAGATACCAGCGCTCTGAGGAGGAGCTGCACAGGGTCGCCGAGGAATGGCTAGAGTGCCAGAAGCGGATTGACGCCTATGTAGATGAGCAGGTGGGTGCTGTGCATGTGCCAAGGCTCTGGAAACCAGTCGCAGCACAGTCAGCCTTCCTGGCTGGGCCTTGCTGTTGCATGGTGACTGCAGTTGGTGGGTTCACCTTGCCAGATCATACGTACTATCACAAACGCTGTTCTCATTTAGGGACGCTGGCAAGCTGCCAGGCTGTGTAGTTCCGGGATCCCTGTTCAGAGTCCATTCTGTCTGTCTTGGGCAGTCTCTGAGGGACCACAGATGTACATACAGCTCCAAGGGCTGGTGGCCAGAGGCTCTGTTGAGGAGGGACTTCTTTCCTGCCCTGCCTCTTTCTTTGAGAGCCTCTGGCAGGTGGGCAAGGCAGGCCTGTGAGTGGCAGGAAAGGAGAAACCCAGAACTCTGTCGTGCTTTTGAGACTTGGTGGTGGAAACAGAGCTGTGCTGGCCTGTGTGTCATGAGATCCTGGATCTCTGGCATCCCTTGACACGGGCATCCATGTCTGAACACTGAGCTTTAGGAGGAGGGGAGTGTAGCCTGGTCACTGAGTTGAGAGCCTCAGACTATGCTTTGTATTCATAGGTCGGTGGTCTCACTGCTGTATCGGCACTGTGGCTGCACACAGTCTTCGGTGTAGAACTTGGCAAATTCTGCCTGTATTCTCTGTTGTGCTGCTTTTAACCTTCTCAAGTTGAGAGTTCCACCTGTCCCATTAGGGAATCAGTGCTGCCAAGCTTGTCGTAGGGCAGGTGGCCCCCAGGACCTGGTGTTTCTTGTGTGTCCTGCTGTTAGGCAGTGGCCTCTCTTTCTGCTGCCCTTGGCTGCTGGTAGGTTTGCAGGAGTATGGGTTGGTTGTGTTTAATTCAGAGTGGGTGTGTCCCTGAATGATCTTTTGTCTGGTTGTGTAACTGGAGACCTATTCTCCAGCTTGCCAGTGTCAGCGGCTTTCTTGGCTCAGGCTACTATGAAAGCGGATGTTCCCAAGCTGCTCTGCTGAATGCAGTTTGCGGATGCTGGGTCAGGTCGGGCAGCGTGCAGCTGCCCGTGGCTTGCCTGTGTGATGGTGGTGGAGCTTCCATCCTCAGCCTCCCTTGAGCCTCAGCCACAGGCCCTGACCGTCCAGATTGCTGGCAGCCCTGGCACATAGAGGCAGCAGCAGAGAAGGCGTGAGAGCTGCTCTCCCTTCCGCCGCCTTCCTGAGCAGCCTGCTGTCGAGAGACTGCTGTTGGATTGGAGTTTGCTGTTCCGGCAGAGACAAGAAGCTGGAAGGGGAGGGGAGGCCAAGGCTGGGGTGTCAGCTCAGCATCTGCCCCAGTGAGTGTGTGGCCATGGCAGTGTGGGGCAGCCTGGCTTTTGGTCCATGGCAGTGGACCCTAACCCTAGGCTGCAGTTCTGCAGCTGCCCTGAAATCCCTACGGAAGCTTCTCCCCTCCCCGGGGCTCACGAGTCACATTAGATACTTAATTTTGCATGAGTCTTCGTGTTTTACAATCCCTGGTACCTGTTTTTGGTGTTACTTTGAAGAAAAGCAGGATTGCTGTAAATGGTTCCTGTGCAGTGGATTGTAGCACAGCAAGCTGGCTGTGCGTCACAGCTGAGCAAGGTGGTTTATTAGGACTGTCAGGGTCAGGGACAGGCAGTGAGAGGTTGTGTTTTACAGTGTTGAGCCATGGGTACCCTGTGAAGGACAGAAGTGTAGGAGACTATGTGTGTGAGTCAGCATTCTGTTGCTGTGACGAAATACCTCAGATCACAAAAGAAGAAATCACTTTTTTTATTCTGGTTTCAGAGCTTTTGGTCCACGTTCCCTTGGCTGATGTTTTGGACCTGTGGTGACACAGTACATCGTGGCCTGAATGCAGGGTACAGGAGGTCCGTTCAATTCATGGTGGCTGGTAATCAGGGAGAGAGGAAAGAGCCAGGTTCCAGTCTCCCCCTTGAGGGGACCTTTTACCTCAAAATGACCTAGCTTCCTCCACGAGGCCCCACCGCCTCCTGAGAGCACCATGGGCTGGCTACAGCCTTTCCACTTGACCTCTGCAGGATGTTCAGGACCAGACCACAGCACTGAGCTCAGTCTCTTCCTGACTGAAGCTTGTCACAAGGGCTCAAGTGCATGTGGAAAGAAGCTGAGGAGCTGGAGGGGCTCTAGGGAACATAGTGGTGTTAGCACGTCTGTGCCCCTCAACCCACAGGGCTGGAGTTCCAGTCAGGAGGAGCTGTGGGGTTTAGACTTACCAAAAATGGGGTGGCCATAGTAGATAGAATTCTGGTTTTAGAAATTCTTTCTTACTAACTAAACAAGAAGGTGCCCCCATGTCAACCCTTAGGAAGAAGGGAATTTCCTCCTTGCTAAGACTCAAGACTCCTTTGGGAGTAGCAACCTCTTGTTGCCTGTGTTTAGCTTCACTTAGGAACTCAGTATGCATTGTTACTGCTGCTGTGCTGCTGAAAATCGGGGTATGTGAAAGTAGCCAATAGCAATGTACATATTTTCTCTTGGGAAAAGAGTACAGTTTTGCTTAAAAAGTCCAGGCCCAGCACCAGGAGCCTTACACATTTCCCCTGAAAGTTTGATGTTCACCATTTAGCCTTTTGAATTCAGACTTTTTTAGCAAGTAAAAAAAAAGCTTACTGTGATTTCTAGGTTATTTTAAAAGAAGAAGCAGAGATAGGTGTCAAATTGTGTTTGTTTATTTTTTCCTTTTTGAGACGGGGTCTCATTATGCAGTTTAGGCTGGCCTTGAGCACACTTTGTAGCTCAGGGTGGTCTCGAACTCTCAACAATCCTTCTGCCTCAGCCTCCCAAGTGCGTGCGCCACCACGCCTGGCATAGATGTTAAATTGATTGTATGATTTATCTTTTATTTCTTTACGACACAAGACATTAAGTGTTAGAAATATTGTTGGCATTCTTGGAATTAAACCTTATAAGCACATGATATACTGTTCTTTAATCCACTCTTAATTTGCTGATATTTCATTTAGGACTTCTGTGTTTTTTTCTAAGGTATGATTGAGCTGAGTTTTAGTCTTTGTGTTTTACCTGTTTTATGTGGAGATCATGGAAGCTTCATAGAATGAATTAAGAGATTGTTTTTTCAATTTTTTTTTTTTATTAAGTTTATTGGTATGTTTTAAGTATACATAATGATCACATTCATCATAGGGAATTTGTTCCTATACACGATAGATCTTTTTTTTTTTTCCCCTTTCCCCCACCCTGTCTTCAACCTCTTCAGTTCTCTGAAATAGTTTAAATATTCTATTCCAAAAAGGGTGAGCTAGAGCCTGCCATTCCTTTGAAACTTCAATGTCTGATCATGTTTGCAGGGAGCAAGAACAAGGAAGATACAGCTACTGTCTTTCAACCTGTGTTATGTTTATTAGTCTGTTTCACATTTCCTTCTACTTCTTGAAGTACATTGAGCTTTACACATTGATTTTTGCATAGGAAAGTTGTGTACATCCTCTGGACAGTCGTGAGCTCGTAGGTCCAGGGCTGGGGAAGAGCATGTGAATGGATGCTGGACCGGATGTCTCCTTGGTGCATCTGGCCTGTTCCCTGGTGCTCACTCTGGACAGAGGCTTTTCTGCTCTGTCCAGAGAGAGAGCACTTCTCTGCTGGCCACAGCGAATGCCCTGCTTTCTTCAGCAGGGGGACCCCTAGAGGCTGTTTCTGTGTAAAGAAGTGCTTGTGATTTTGAGTGGTTCGATTAAAAGGCTGAAATGGAATGCCTGGGCATGCATTTGTAATATTGTATCTACTTTGTTTATAGATGGTGTTTCTTCTATATATTATTTTTGTCATTAAAAAAAGTCTTTCCAGGGCTGGGGATTTAGCTCAGCGATACAGCGCCTGCCTGGCAAGCACGAGATCGTGAGTTCGAATCTCGGTACTGGAAGAAAAAAAAATTACATAGTACTTTAAAAAAAAAAGTCTTTCCTTGAAAATATTCTATATAGTTACTGTTGGTATTAAAGAGGGTTTCTTGGTTTGTTTTTTACATCCTGTATCTAGATGACAATGAAAAGCAAGCAACGCGTATTAACAGAAGACTGGGAGATTTTTAAGCAAAGGCGATTCATTGAGGAACAGGTAAGTTTGTCCACAGGAAAGGCAGTTACAAGAGACTGAACTCCCTGTGTCCAAAGCAGCGGTGCCTTTGCATGCTGGCACAGGACACTGTGGGAGGACCACCCTGGGACCTCCGCCATGTTACAGCACTGTGAAGGACAGTGGCTTTAACCTCCAGGAGAACTGACTCTCCGTACCTGTTTCCTATCTTCCACATACTCGTCAAGGCGAGTGCATGTTCACCCCTAGGCATTCTGTTAACAGCGTTGTTCTGAGTTACTCCTCCGTGAGGCACGTGCTGCTGTCTCTAGCTTGCACACAGGGAGGGGTACGGTATGAAGTTAAGTACATTCCTAAAGTCACAGACCAGGACTTCAGCCTAGCTTCCCTGACAGCTCAGGTGTGGGCTTTAGCTGGCTGCTGACAGAGCAGGTCTGCCCCATTTCCTCCCCCCAGCGGTGCCTCCTACAGACAGGCTTGCCCTGTACCTCTGCTAGCGCAGCTTTGGCAGAGCTTGCTAGTAACTGCTATGGTTGGCCTTGGGGCTTTTAGCTTTTTTTATTTTTTGGTACCAGGAATCAAACTCAGGACCTTGTGCTTGCCAGTCAGATGCTGCGCCACTGAGCTGTATGCCCGGCCTCTTAGCTTAACTCCTGATCTCTCCTCCACATGCTACTCTGGCTCTTCTTGCTTCCTGGATCATTTTTCTCAGTCTACTTTGTGATCCTTTTCCTTGACCTGCCTGTAAATGTCAGTGGCATCGTGCTCTCCTCCCCAGTTCTGCATGTGCCCTGTCTTGTCAGGTGGCCCTTCCAGCTGCCACCTATCCCATTGTCACAGTTGGTCCAGGGTTCCTTCTCCGTAAAGTGCAGATGCCTCATAGTTGCTTGGATGTTTGGGTGCTATTTCCTGGCACCTTCAAAGTCCAGCCTTCTCCTGACATTGGTCTCCATTCCTGCAGCTCTGTGCCTGACACCTAAGACTCAGGGTAAAAGCTGGCTGTCTGCCCTGGCCTTTCCTTCCTGGTGTCTGCTGTCAGGGCCCAGGACAGCATGCTTGCTGGAGACGAAAGCATTTGAGAGGTTCCTGGTTTGGCCCTTGTGTGGTTCGGCCCTCTCTGTGGGCTCCAGGTCTGCTGCTTCTATTTTCCTGGTCTTGTCTGCCTCACAAAGCTGTGTGCCCCTTGGCTTCTAAATGAGTACCATAGACATTACCATAATTGCTAAAAAATGTGGTCTGTGAAAGAGGGGAAGTGTCTTATGAAATCGAGCTGTTGTTTGATGATTTTCTCTAGTTAACTAACAAGAAAGCGGTTACTGGTGAGAATAACTTCACAGACACCATGAGGCACATGTTGTCGTCCCGCCTGAGCATGCCCGACTGCCCCAACTGCAACTACAGGAGAAGGTGAGCTGGGCTGGCGGGAGCAGCACCTACACCCTCTGACTAGGTGGAGGTCTGGAACCGGCCTCAGAGAACATGGTGACCTTCTGTATTGGCTCTCTTGGTAACTGTCCTTAATTCCCGATCAGATGTGCTTGCGATGACTGCAGCCTCTCACACATCCTCACTTGTGGTATCATGGACCCCCCCGTCACTGATGACATCCACATTCACCAGCTACCACTCCAAGTGGATTCTGCTCCCGACTATCTCTCTGAGATGCGCCCTCCTAGCGTATCATCCGCAAGCTCAGGGTCAGGTTCCAGCTCTCCCATCACAATTCAGCAGCATCCCAGACTCATCCTCACAGACAGTGGCTCTGCACCAACTTTGTAAGTTGTGACTTTATAATAAAGCTTGAGAATCTGAGTATCTGATAATGAGAAATACAGACAGTAATGTCTACAGAGGTATGAGCATCATTATAGTGCTTTTCCTGAAAGAAAAAAAAAGACTCATTGTTTTAAGCAATTTTGAAAACATGCAGTCAGTAAACTCAAACTTGAACACTATTTTATTACCTGAAAAAAAGACAATAAATTAACAAATGCCAGTGCAGAACAAACACGTTGGTATGCAGGGAAGTGTCTCCCCGGTCCTGGCCCCATCTCCGCTCTCTCCTGGAGGGTGGCCAGCCCGTGGTCATCGCCTCATTGTCTGCTCAGCGTTCATGCTTGTGCCATGGCTTGCTAAGAACTCAGATGATCACTTTAGCAAGCAACAGAGTTTCTGTCTTCTGTGTTCCCACATTATCAGGAGTGCGTCTCGTGTGAGCAAGGTGGCTGTGCCGCTCCCATCACTTCACGTTGTCGGTGGCTGGTCCCCCTTTCTTCTGAGTTGTGATCTTGTCCTTTGTGGCAGCTGCACATGCTGACTTGAGGGAGGGTGGAGTCAGCTCCGTGCGCCCTGTAGTGAGTCTGGCACAGGGGCCTGGTGGAGGCATCGCTACCCTGGCTGCCGAGTACTTGCTGCTCAGGCTCCTCCGCTCTGCCCTTGTGCTCGTCCCCTCCATCACAGTTTCTTGTCTGACTCCTATGTTGTCCTTCAGTCCTTCAGTTTTCACTTTGGACCTGTTCTGAAATCCAAAAGAATTCTTCTTTTTTTTCCCCCCTGTGGTACTTGGGATTGAAGCCAGGGCCTTACGCGTGCTAGGTTCTTTCACTTGAATTATACCCCAGCCTCAAATCCAGAATGTTTCTAGAGAGCTGGTGTATATTCCATGACTCTTCATTGGAAGATCCCCAGCTGTTTTGTAATCTTAGGAACCCTGCCTGTCTAGGAGATAAGAAAGAGTACTGAGGGTTTGCAGCTATTTCCTGGCTTCTTACAGAAGCAATATGGAAATTAAATACCTAGAAATAGTAAAACCCCTCATCATTACACAGCGGCTGGTGTTGCTTGTGGGCTCTGGGCACAGTCAGTGCAGGAGCCCTGGCCACGGGTGCCTTTCCTCTGGGCCTTGGAGCCTCGGGGCCTCCTGCAGCTTGTGATTACTGCCTTACAAATAGTCACCACTCTAACTTTCAAATCTCCAGTGTGGCCCTAGACTCATAGTGTCTGTCTTGGTGTCATATCTGAATTGGTGAAAACAGACGGTATGATGTCAGTCACTGTATAGCCTTGCTCTCCTGATCTTACAGGTGTTGGGGTTAGAGAATCCTCCCTGTCACTTGCTGCCATTGGCTGAGTCAGTGACTTCACTTTAGAACCCCAGTAAACCACGGTGATAAAGGCACTGCAGGAGGGGTGTGCACGTTTCCTGGAGCAGCCTGAGCGCGCTCACTGCTGGGGGTTGTGTGTACCTCCTTTGGTGAACTCTAGCTCATCATACAGCGTAGCAGGTTGACTGTTGTCTTAAAGGTGGAAAGCACATCTGAGTCTGGTAATCATGACATTCTTTACTAAGAGGAAAGGTTGCCACTTCTTCAGGGTTCTGCCGTCTGGGAGCCACTGTGTGCTGAGGCTGAGGACAGACTCAGGCATATTACAGAACCGGAGCGGTCACGTAGGGTTATGCCTGGAACTGTGAACTCTGTGACAGCTCTTCCCACCTACCATGAAGTCATGTTTAAGGTTCTGTAAACTTAAGCCATGAAATTTGTTTACACTTTTTCTAGCACTTGCCCATTGCTTAGATGTCTTGCTAAAGCTGATAATTAAGGTCATAACTGACTTGACCAGAGCTGAACTTGTAGAGTTGTTAAAAAAAAATTTTTATTACATAAATGTGTTTAAAGATTTGTTCGGCTAGATCTGAGAGCTTGGTGGTGATGAAAGCAAACACTGAAGACCTGAGATTGCCGTCGGTACCCTTTAACTTTTAGTAAAACATGATGTCTTCTTGGGAGTAGCAGAAAGAGTAGTTTTACACCAGACCATTTCAGCTCAAATGAAAATGTGGTATCAGTTAGCCTGATTAAATGTTTCGTTTCCTCACTACTACTTCTGGAAGTCTTCATATTCTTCCAGCAGGCCCAGCATTACTCTCTGGGAGCCCTTGTGGGGAGGGCTCATAGTTGGTAGTGGTGTGGCTGATCCTTGCATGCCCCTGGAATGGAGGTCATGCTTTGTGGAGGTATCTGGCTCTGTACGGGGTTCGGTCTTTGCTGTACTCCTCACCTGAGGGCCTCAGGGTAACTGTCTCTGCTTGTCTCAGTTGTAGTGATGATGAAGATGTTGCACCGTTGTCAGCCAAGTTTGCTGACATTTACCCATTGAGTAACTACGATGACACTGAGGTGGTGGCCAGCATGAATGGAATCCACAGCGAACTGAATGGTGGTGGGGAAAACCTGGCCTTGAAAGATGAGGTATGGGTGTGGCTTCTTGGTAGCAGCAACAGAGGGCATGGTTTAATTTTTCTATTGTTCTGCTTTGAAAAGTATAAGTCACAAAAGCCTGTCTTTAAAGTCTCCTCAGGTTAGCAGTACCAGTAGTAGTTCTTCCGAAGCTGATGATGAAGAAGCAGATGGCGAGAGTGGGGGGGAGCCCCCAGGAGCACCAAAAGAAGATGGGGCCCTAGGAAATGGGAGCCCCGTGACAGAGGAGAGTAAAGTAGACACTCCACCCCCGTCTTACCCTGCTCAGCAGGTAGGGCTTCAGATTTCACATTTTCTGTTCTGACAAATGAAAGTTACATAATTTAAAATTAATTCATTAAATTTGTTCGAATAGGTAATACAAATATATGGTTTGTATTAAGTGTATGGTAATATAAATATGTGGATCAGATACTGTAGGAGTCATTAAAAGGCAAACAGAGAGAAATCCTGCCCCTATACCCTTTGCTATCATCCTGTCCAGTATGTGCAGAGCTCTGGTCCTAGCCCCAGTGGGTGGCCGGTTTCATTCGTTTGTTATGTGCAGACCCAGCCCCTCTTACGACCAAGGCTGTGTGTGACACTGCACAGGCTGCTGCCCACACCTCATTTTCCTTCAACAGTGCATGCTGAAAGGTGACATACGCAGAGCGTGGTCTCGTCCTTTCTGCTGGCTGCTGTGCGCTCCATCCCGTGGACATGCCGCTGTTTGCTCTGATTTTCTTTTCAGGCCCCTGTTGAGGGGTACTTCTGTTGTCCCCACCCCCATTCTTGACCATGTAAACTACGGAGTGACCTTGTGCATCTGACAGTGAGCACGTACGTGAGTAGACACACCCCTAGGATTGATGCCATATGAGTACTGCGTCAGAACTGCACATGGGACGAGGGGCCGTGGTGGCCTCCCCTATGTCCCCAGAGAGTGGCGACATAGTTTTACAATCTAATACATGAAAAACAGCCCTTACGGGGTTTTTTTATATTTTACTTTTATAGTTAAATGTCTTTTCATACAGTAAAGGACTGTTTCCCTTTCCATCTTGTTATTAAGTTATAAGAGTTCTTTATATGTTGGAGAAAGGTCCTTTATCAGATGTATGATTTGCACTATTTTCTAATGATCTGTGGTATATATTTTATTGTCTCTTGTAAATTAGAAGTTTTTGGGGGCTGGGGATTTAGCTCAGCGGCAAAGCGCCTGCCTGGCAAGCGCAAGGTCGTGAGTTCGGTTCCTGGTACCAGAGAAAAACCAAAAAAAAAAAAAAAGAAGTTTTTGGCTCCAACTTACTAATTTTTTTCTTTTATTATGTTTCTGATACACAGGGATACCTCAGTTGTCCAAGTTTGTTCCAGATTCATGTTCAGACACCAAAAAGTTTGAGAACTAAACATATTTTTCCCGTAAGAAATAATGGAGAGGCTGAGGCAGGCAGATCATTGCGAGTTCAAGGCCAGGCTGGGCTACAAAGTGAGCTCAAGGCCAGGTTGAACTGCGTAGAGACCCTATTTCAAAAAGACAAAAAAGGAAAAGCAAGTAATTGGTTTTGAGTCCCAGAAATTACACTTACAAATTCATTTTTCCAGGAATTTAACCCAGTTTACAATGATTTCTTTCTTTAACTCTGTTATGGTTCTCACAGTTTTCCTGTTAGGTTTATTGCTAGTGTCACTTAACTTTCTTTGGAGCCATGGTTACACTATTTTATGCAGATAAAGTGCAAAAAATAAAAAAGCACAGTGACAAATGTTTTACCGCACTAACACAAGCATCACATGATGAGAGCAGTGCTTAGAATTAAACCTCACCCCTTTGTGTCTGCACAGGATGTGACAGGTGACTCACACTTGGACCTGTACAGGTTTTTTGCACAATGGATTTTTGGTTTCGACTATCGAGCAAAGTCATGAACACCGAGCATATTTTTTTTTTGAACTTTACTTTTCAAGTAGTGGGAAGCTGTTCGGCAACCAAAGTCACTGTATTGTCTAAGAAAACTTTGCCTGTCACAAAGCTGTTTTCTTCTAAAAGATTTATAACTTCCACCTCTTACTTAGGTACTGTGGTCCATTTGAATCATTTGCTTCTGGTGTTGGGTTAGAGTGTTTTTATTTTTACACAGGTGGATATGCAGTTGCCCAATACTGTTTGTTAGAAACTGTCCTTTGCCCCATTGCATTGCCGTGCCCATTTGTTGAAAATCGATGGATTGTAAATATGAGGGTTTAAGCCGAGACCTCACTTTACTCATTGGACCTCTGTGTCTGTCCTTACCCCCACAGTGCACTTGCCTGTTGGTCTGTGATAAGTTTGAAAATAGTTGGTTCTGCCCTCCAACTTGATGTCCACATAGACAGCTGTCTTCTCATTGTAGGCTCCAGTGCTGGGAAGGGCAGGGCACATGAGCAGGGGCCTCTTCTAAGGGCTTTTATCACTGTTGGGGGTGGGTCCTTCCAGGGGACTCCCCCCCATATCATCTACTTGAAAGTTATGCAGTGTGAAAGTCATGAAGTGTCTGTTGGATCATTTACTCCCCCTTTCAGTTCTGCCAATTTTTGATTCATATATTGGGGGTGATGTTGTTGAATGCATATACATGTATGACGGTCATATTTCTCAGATACGCTGACCCTTTTATCATCAAGAAATGTTTTTCTGCTGATATTTTACCTGATATTAATAAAACCACCCCAGCCTCTTAGTATTTTTTCATCCTTTTACCTTCAGATTTCAATTCCTTTAGTTGAGTTTAAATTTTTATCCTGTCAATTCCTGCCCTTTTTGATGTTAAACAGGTTTTAGGTCTGCTGTTGACTCTTATTTGTTTTGTTTCTTGAGACAGGGTTTCGCTGTGCAGTCCGGGTTGGCGTTGAACTCACTATGTAGTCTTGTCTTGCCTGAACTTAGTAGTGATCCTCTCCTGAGTGTTGGGATTACCGGCCAGGTGTGTGCCACCACGCCTGGTCGGTCACTGTTGTCTCTTTACTTTTTTAGTTAGTTTCTTAATGGGTGCTCTGAGGATTACAATATGCATTTTAGTTTATCATAGTCTACTCCAGGTTAACACTAACTTCCTTCTAACATCAGGCATGGCTGTAATGCAGTTCCATTTTCCTATTCCTCCTTTGAACTGTTATTGTTCTTATTTCTTACATTTGTATGTTATAAATCCAACACCGTTTTGTTTTGTTTTGTTTTTCTCCGGTACCAGGAATCAAACTCACGACCTGGCACTTGCCAGGCAGGCACTGGCCGCTGAGCTAAATCCCCAGCCCCTCCAACACTGTGTTGTAATCAGTGCTTTCTACAGTTTTTTTGTTGTTTTTGTTTTGTTTCGTTTTGCTTTGTTTTTTTGAGACAGGATCTCACGCAATTCAGGCTGGCCCTGAATTCATTATGGCCCAAACTCACGACCTCAGCCTCCCTAATGCTGGGATTACAGTTGTGTACCTCCACTCTCGGCTCTGCGGTTTATTTTTTAGAAAAATTAAGAGCAAAGATAAGAAAAATACATTCATATGTGGTGTCTCTTGACATCTTGCTTACGTTCATGGCATTCTTCATAGTTTTCCCTGTGGGCTGAGTTACTGTCTGTTGTTGCCTTTCAGCTGGAGGATGTCCTTTCATACTTGTACAAGTTTGCTACTAATGAATTCCCCCAATCTTTATGTGTAAATGCCTGTTTTGTTTTCATTCCTTTGAACAGTTTATTTTTAAGAGTTGCAGCAGAGTTGAGTGGGAGGTACAGAATTGCTCTGCGCCGTATACCCTACTCCTCACAGCCTCCTGTTGGAACCCACAGAGTGGAGTGCAGTGCTTCCACAGCAGGAAGCACTGAAGCAGCTGGCTCCCAAAGGCTGTGCTTTTTCACTGGGCTGGGTTGTGGTCCTCAGGATCTCTCCATCTTTCTCTATGCAGGACCATGCTGTGTAATTTTCTGGCTAGCTGCGTACTTTTTTTTAAATTTCTTTTCCACGACCCCCCCCCCTTTTTTTTTTTGAGACAAGGTCTTGCTGTGTAGTTCAGGCTGGTTTTGAACTCACTATGTAGCCCAGGCTGGCCTTGAACTTGCAGCTATCCTCCCGCCTCAACCTCCTAAGTGCTGGCATTACAGCTGTGCACCACCATGCCTTCCACTTTATTCTTCATATGGAGAATTTCTGTTTCTCTGACTGGCATTCACATGTTCTTTTTCTGCCATCTTAAATGTGCTTTTAGAATTTTTATTTCATACTTTCTGTTGCTTTTATTTTTACTAGTACAAGTTTGCAGTGCTGAATCGTTGCATTCATTGTGCAGAGTTGGTAGGTGCACATTCTGTTTAATCCCCTTTCTCTCCCTCCACCTCTTGGTTCCCTTTTCATTCTTTTTTGTAGTTTCTCTTTCTTTATAATCCCATGTATGTTGACTCTTTGTTTTCATATTTTGTTTAACCTCTGAAAATGTAGTAGCAGCTGCTTTGACATTTTAGGGTGTTGATCCAGTGTCTGGACTCACTCAGATCCAGTTTCTAGAGACTGACTACTCTCTCTTTGCAAAAAAACGTGTGTCACAGTTTTTTCTTTACGTGTCTCATAATTTTTTGTTGAAAACTGGGCACGTTAAATAATGTAGCAAATTTGGGTTCTACCTTTTCCCTCTCAGGCTGTTGTTGTGTTTCTTTGTGTATTATTACTCGCCCTGGCTTAAATTGCAGAATCTGTGTCCCCCACATTGTATGGCTGTTGATGGCTCAGCTCCCACTTTTTCTTCATTTTACTTTTTAGCTTATCTTTTAGAGAGCTCCCCTTTGGTTACTTGACTTAGCAGGTCAGCTGGTGATTTGGGCAGAGGTTGTTCATGCACTCCACCTGCCCTTGGTCAGCTTTGGGAGTTCCGTCCTCTGTGTGCACCATGGTCTCCTGGTGAGCCAGTGAACTGTGGACAGCTGAAGAGTCTTCCTCCAGCTCATTCATTTCTAGTTCTCTCTGTAAGGTTTCTGTTTCACCTGCTGCTTGCCTCAAGCAGGACTCCTGCCTCAAGCTGGCAGCTGGAGCTGAGGTTCCCCTGCCACTGCCCTCAGGGTCCACCACTCCTGTGAGCTGACCTCTGCATCACGCACACTGCTCTCTGTGGTACTGCTGCACCAGTGCCCACAAACAAGTAGGAGAGGGAGGACCTGGGGCGAGAAGGCCAGACCCTCACTCTTCTCTGCACTTCTGCCGACTTACAGTGTTCTGCTTTGGCTGATTTCTCAGCCTCCAGGTGGTTGTCTTCAGCAGGTGTGTCATTTTTACATTTACTTGGAAGAAGGGGAGCTGCCAGCCTCCCCACTCCCTTCTCAGTGGCTGTGTAGAGCTGTGCCATGTGGATTGAGCAGCACAAGGCCAGCAAGGCAGAGTGAAGCAGAGCCACTCGTGATGTTTCCCGTGCGTGGTCCCAGCTTCTTCTCGCCACTCTATTGTCTTTCCCTGGTCCCTCGTACCCTCAGTTTGCCCAGGGACCCAGGTCAGTGGCTGCTACCTCAGCTGATCCAGTCTCTGCAGTCCCTCCAAACTCTGCAGGGAGAGCCCTGAGATGTATCTTTGTTTTTCCCTCTGAACTGTTTGTCACAGTGTGATAGACTTTGACTGAACTCACACCTATCTTTCTTTCACATTAAACAAATGCCTTTTCTTTCCTTTTAGGCTGAACAAGCTCCAAACACTTGTGAATGTCATGTTTGTAAACAAGAAGCCTCTGGGCTGACGGCATCGGCAATGACGGCTGGAGCCCTTCCTCCTGGTCACCAGTTCCTGAGCCCAGAGAAGCCCACACACCCCGCACTGCACCTGTACCCCCACATCCATGGCCACGTGCCCCTGCACACCGTCCCACACCTGCCTCGGCCCCTCATCCACCCCACCTTATACACAGCGCCCCCGTTCACACACAGTAAGGTAAGCTGGGCAAAAGGGCCTGAAAGCCCACTTGTCACTGAGCTCCCATAGGTGGGTGTGTTTAACCAGGCAAATGTAGCATTGGTAGCACACACAGGACAACATGTGCTCTTCATAGGAAGGCCTGCAAATGTCTGCTTGTACTCCATTCTCAAGTACTTGTAATTTTGAACCTTCCCAGTTGTAAAAACCAATCATGAAGTTCATGGTTTATTCATTCAGAATAAACTAGAACATAGCAGATTTTCAGGTGATACTGCTAACATGCAGAATTTGGAGACCCTTCATACAAGTCCATTGACCTACTCACGGCATTCTGGGGCCTGGCTCAGATGGGGAAGATCACTGCCATTGTCTGACTTCTGCAGGGTCTAAATAATTATGTGTCCTTCGCATGAAATCGAAGGCCTAGAAATACACAAGCCTGATGTGCAGTGATGTAGGAGCCATCCCACCTTGAAGTGGGCATGGGAGCTAGACAGCAGATGGGGGCCCAGCAGCAACTGTGCTCAGAGCCCCTTCAGGAAACATAGTGAAGATCTAGGAGATGCTGGTCAGTCAGCATTTCTCCTCAGAGAACCCTGGGCCTGTATTTATTACCTTAGACTTGGTGATGAAGTGTTTGGGTTGATTTCACTCTTTGTACTTTTAGTAGCTTTCTTTGCCTCTCTGTTTTGAATGTACTTTTGTTGACTCAGCGTAATTCTGGCTGCATTCTATCTTTTTATATGGATTATTCTGTTTCCAAGTTTGCCCTAATCAGTCAAAAGTAGACTTTTCCCTATATTCTAACGTATTACTGAAAACAGTGATCCTCAGTTGAAGGAGATGGAAGACCACCCTTGGCAAGAGCTACTGAGGCTGCCTGCTTTCTTCCCTGGGGTCCTTACATTGGGGGTGCTCCTTGGGTTTGCCAAAAAGCAGCGAAGGTGGGAGGATAGGACCATAGGTTTAGAAAAGACTAGAACGAGTTGGCCGTGTTTTATTACAACATTGCACAACTATTGTATCGGAATGCATGCTTAGATGTTGTTAGGTTGAATATTGCTCAGTTTGAACGTTCAGTGATGTTTTTACTCATAAAGTAGTTTCCAAGCTCATCTTTAGTTAGGTGGTCACAGGCTATTTTCATGGTCTTTGGGCCCTGTTTTCCTCTGAGAGAATGTGTGAGCTTAGGAAGCTGTCTACTTACAATTCTTACCTGAACAAAGCTCTGGCCTAGTCCTGAGAAATAATTATAGAATGTTCTCTTACATATTTTTGTTGATTAAAGCTATTCAGGAATTAGTTCCTGAAAGTATTTTAGTAAAATAATGAAGTTGATTATTCCCAAAGTTTATTGGCATACTAGTTAAAAAATGATCTTTTCCCCTGACTTTGTCCTTTTTTTAGGAAGTTATAGGAGCTTTACATAGGGTAAAAGGTGTAGAAAAATATTTTTAGAATCCCCCCCCAATATCTTTCCCTTTGACATTAAACTTTAGTGACATAGGATGCCATAAGTCAGTGTGAAAGATTCACATCTAGAAAAGCAAATATAAGGCCGTCGTGGTGACACATGCCTGTAATCCCAGCAGTCTGAGGCTGGGAGGCTGAGGTGTGAGTTCTAGCCCAGTCTGGGCAATTTAGCAACTCAGTGAGACCCTGTCTTAAAGTTAAAAAGATAAAAAGGGCCAGGGAGGTAGCTCAGTGTGAAAGCCTTGGGTTCAGTCCCCAGTACCCCCCAAAAGAAAAGCTAATATAGCAGTTAAGCCATATGTGGTAGAGGTCATATAGAAACTTAGGAATTTATATTGAAGGCTTATTTCACCCACTTTGCTATTAATATCAAGATTATGCACATCATTTAAAATACATTTGTTGGAGGCCCTTTTTATTTGAAAAAATAAGATACAGTCACCAAAAGATCACTCATGCCTAAAACAAAAATAAAAAGCTTCTTACCAGATCTTGCGAAGTAGTTTGTGAATTGGTACAACGCGCTTGACTGCTGTGGCTGTGTCTGTACCTAGCGCACAGTGCGTGACAGCCCCGGGAGCTGGGGAAGCGGTGTCTGACAGAGCTTGGCTGGGTTAGGGTGGCGCAGATGGCTTCATTTATATGACGGATTTCTTAGAAGTGCCAGAGGCCGCTGCGTGCTACTCCCAGCACAGTTTTGAGGGATAGAGTAAGTACTTAGTATGGGGTAGTTGCACCCATTGAGGCTGTTTTTTCTGCCTCTGTATCTGTGTCCCTTTCTGCAGCGTTCGGGCTTTTGGAAGTTTCTGTACTGAGAAAATCACAGTTGTTGCCTTTAAGACTTCATGTCATTGTAGTTTTAATTTTTCTTGTAATTCTTACTTTGGCCATTGTGTATAAATACTTAGCACAAAAATAAGTTTAGGATGAGTACTATGAAAAATGGTCGTACACCAGGCATGGTAGTATACACCTGGAGTTGCAGCCACTTGAGACACTGAGGCAAGAGGATTGCAAGTTTGAGGCCAACCCAGGCAACTTAGCAACTTAATGAATGAGCCCTTGTCTCAAAACAAAATAAGGGACAAGGGATATAGGTCAGGTGAAGGCCCTAGGTTCAATTCACAGTACTGGAGAAAAGAGGGAGGGAGGGAAAGGAGGGAAAATTTAATTTTCTTGAAAGTAAAACGGCTGAATACTAACTCTGTTTTCAGATGTTTTTATACCAGCAATACATTTAATGTATATGTTGAGATGTAAGTTATGTAAAAGTTCAAAGTAGTTGGAGGGAAAAAAAGGTGGTGAGTGAGTAGAGTGCCCTGGTGCTATCTTATGAAAGCAGAGTCTCCAGGGAGTTCGTGCATCTCTGCCCTTGCACTTGCAGTGAGTACAGTCTGCCGATTCCTGAGCTGCGGTCAAGGCGTCTGTCCTGTGAGCCCAGGGCAGAGCATTTGGCTTCTTTCTAATGGGCTCAGTCTCTTCAGCTACTACGCCTTGTTTTTGGCTTCAGCTTTACACTTGCTTCCTTTCTGGCCAGATTGAGAGTTTCTCAGACCTTTTAGGTAAGCTTTTTACTCCTGGTTTTGATTGTAAATCTGACTAAATGCACCCACTAACACCATGCCACAGCCAGAGTGTTACGCTGTCTTGAAATTTCCTCTTACCAGCTTGACCAGGACCTCTAAACTTGGCCTCCTACGAAGTCTCAGGGCATTGGCGAAATTAGACAAATTCTTTACCAGACCTGGCCTCCAGTCCAGTTCTCAGTAGAGTCTAATTTACAAGGGAAACCTATGAGCGTAGTCTTCACTGTCCACATACCTGTCAGCATGTTAGTCTGCAGTGTTGTTAGAATTTCTTTCTCCAGCTTCAGTTTTTTGGAAAAGTTTGATAAGGACTGTTCTTTAAATATTCGACAGAATTCACCTGAGAAGCCACCAGGTCTGGTGTGGCTTTGGATGTCTGAGTTAATATTCTTACTAGCTATACAGTGAGGTTCTATTCAGATTTTTCTGTTTCTTCATGATTTGGTCTTGTTTGGTGTTTTTCTAGGGATTTTTCTGTGCATTACCCAGTGTGTTGGCATGCAGTTGTTCACGGTGTTCGTAGCGCTTACAGTCCTTTCCCTTTCTATAGCAGTAGTGGTTGTGTCTTGGTCTCTCTCATCGCTGAGACTCAATACCTGACACCCACAGTTTAAAGGAGGCGAGGTTTATTTTGACTCATGGTTTCAGAAGAGCCAGCCCCCAGTTGGCTCAGATACAGTAATGGTGTAGCAGAGGGCCTTCCCCAAGGAAAGTCACTCAGTTTTGTTAGTGAAGAGACCAGTACACGGCTGTTTGTACCGCCAGTGGCACGAGCTGCCCGATGCACAGCTGTGCTGGTAGCGCCGGGGGCTGAAGCCGGTGGGAGCGCATTAACCCACTGATGAGTACAGCACCCCATGGTCCAGTCACTGTCCAGAGCCTCTGAACACAAGAAGGAGGCATTCTAGATCCAAGCCACGGAATCATGTCCCCTATTGCTTCCAGTTTTGGTAAATCTGTGTCCTCTTTTTTTCCTTAGTCCATCTCACTAAAGGTTTGTCAATTTGCTTCGTCTGTATTTTGGTTTAATTGGCGGTCTCTGTTGTTTTTCTTTTCACAATTTCATTTTTCTTCATTCTAATTCTCATTATTCCACCCCATCCACTAGCTGTGGGTTTTTCTTTTTGATTTGTTGAGACTAGCTCTCACAATGTAATTCAGACTGGTCTTGAACTCATTACGTAGCATAGGCCAGCCTTGAGTTCAGTGATTCTCCTACCTCAAACTCCCCACTACAGGTGTACACCACCTTATTTTTGTTTTTGTTTATAGTCCTGAACATTGAACCCAGGGCCTTGAATATGCAAGAGAACCCTCAACCACTGAGCTGTACCTCCAGCCCTTGCTTGCTTGTTTGCTTCCTGATTCTGGAACTTTATCCCTTTCTGCAACTCTTCCTTTCTGTACGTAGATAGATCCAAGTGCCTGACCTACAGTACTTTCCATCTGCTCGAAGACCTTCTAACATTTTTTGCAGGACAGGGGTGCCCTCAGTCTTTGTTTGTCTGAAGAAGTCTTCATTTCTCCTTTACTTTTGAAGGGCTATTTCATTGAGTGCACAGTTCTAGTTTCATGGTTGTTTTTCTTTGAAAACCCTAAATATGTATTTAACTTTCCTCTTCTCTTGCCTGCATAGCTTCTGGCGGATGCCCTTTGTCATTCTTTTCCTTGTTCTTCTAAAGATCCTTTTGCCTCACCTACCTCCGGTGCTTTCTAAGTGGTCTTTTGGTTTCTAGTTTTCCACAGTCTTCATTCCACACACCTGTGTTTGTGGAGCTTGAGGGGATTTATTCTAGTGCACTCTCTGAACTTCTTGGATCTCCGGTGTCTGTCATTAACTTTGGAGAGTTTTTGGCCCTTACTAGTTCTAGTGTTTGCTCACTCCTTCAGACATTCTGATTGTCTCGTATTGTTGTTCTTGGATTTTTGGCTCTAGCGAGTTTTTGTTTTGGGACT